GTGGCTGCGGGTGAGGCGGCCCTGGCAGCCGTGTGCCGGGGGCCCCGAGCAGCGTGACGGCTCCGCGGGTCTCTCCCGCTGCCTTCCAGCGCTGGCCGCGTTTATCCTGCTGAGGCCTGTTTCGGCCGTGTAATTACGGGAACGTGGTTCATCATGGGCGGGTTGGAGGGTTTTCTGGCAGTAGGAGGCTTTTGCTAAAGTTTCCCCATGCCATCTGGAGCAGAAGCTGTCAGATGCCTGGTGAGGTGGAGGTTGGGGGGAACTATGTCGGTATGGGAGTGCTTCCCCTTTTGCAAGGGACTTATGTGGGTGGGATTTGGATGTTGAAGTGAAGCCTGTAAGCAAGGAAAGTAGAGCAATGTAAGAAGATGGTCTTCTCTCTGTAGGTGGGTGATGCCAAGCACAGCCATGAAGAAAAAGGTAAGAACTGAAAGGAGAATCCTTGGCAGTTGGGTTTGCCTTCCCCATCTGTATTTGCTAATGACATTATGTGTTTGCATCTGTACTTCCATGTGTTCTTTGGCTGTCAGGTACCTCTTAAGACTCTCAGAGTCAGCAGAGGCATCCTTTGGTTAAAGCACTAGAAATTAAAACCAGGTTTGAGCTTATTCACTGACACAAGTGATAGGGCAGGCTCGCTGCAGAGCCATCCATGATAACTGCTGTGTGAGTGTTTCTCGTACGTGTTGCAAAACCCCCTGCTCGTTAGGGAAGAGGATATGCTCTAACCCGCCTCGCTGGCCCAGGGGGAGACTCTTGCGATGCATTACTTGTGTGTGGAGCCTGTAATTCACTGAGGGGTCATGGTAGGATGGAACTTAACATGTGGGAAGGAATAGCACTTCTTCTGAGAATGAGGAGGGGGGTATATTCCAGCAGTAAGCAAATTCAAAGCCATTAAAGCAGCTGTGTAGAGAATATATGGCTGCCTGTCCATAATATGTTCGGATTGGGTTCCCTGCCTGGCCTTACGTGCTGGTGTCTGACCCCTTTGAAAGGCCTCTTCTGGCTAAAACTTGGAAATTGGATTTTTGTCTGTAGGCTGACTTGGGCTGTGCCTTGGAGCTGTATTGAGTTTCTGCATGTGCTTCTTCTGCAGGTGGTATGAAATAAGAGACGCTGACAGCCTCTCTTTCTGCTCTGTCTGTAGCTCAGGGGAGAAGGCAGTGTAGCTTTCTGGGGATTTGCTTCAGAAAGGCTGGCAGGTGTGACCTGATCAGCCTGCCTCTCCAAGAAAAAAGTTGTTACCAAGTCATCGAGATCTGTGGTCCGCTTCCTTTTGGAAAGGCTGCTTGCCAGCCTGTGAAATGTTGCAATTTCAGAAGGATAACTTGTGCAATCGGGATGGTGTGATTCTGCCTCTCCTGGTTTGCACTGACATTGTGGCAGTGGTTGCTGTGCAGTCACAGAGTGAGGCTGGGAGTTGAGCGAGTGGCTTCCCAGTTAGCTTTTGGCATTGGTGTGGGCTGGGCAGGCAGACTTGGGCCGCTTGCACTCTTGTTAAACCTATCCTTGATGATAGATCTGCAGAGCTGGTGCCAAAGGCTCAATTTGACTTTGTAACTGGAACTTGTCTAACAGCTGTTTTTGCAAGCAAGTCTGTGTTGGCTGTCACTGTTGGGGCTTTTTAATTTTTATTTTTAGATCACAATATAGGGTCTTGGCTTGTGTGACCGTGTCCCCTCTTCCCCCCGCAATCATCTCCTAGTTTTTGGCTACCAAAGGTGCTAATCCTCCTTGGGCCTGGTGATCTGCAAAGAGGACTCTGAAGTCAAGTGTCTCCCCTGTGTGATGGCCTGGTGCACTTGAACTGGGCTGTCCCATCTGATTTTAACCTTTTGCTGGTCTTCTGATGCGTGAAACTTGAAATGTAACTTGTATTTCACTTTTGTTAGGAAGGAGAAAACAAGTCACATTACGAGAAGGAAAAGAGCATGTTTAGGAGAGAAGTGATGGTTAGAGAATAACAGTGCTGAATGGGCAAGGGGTTGTTTCCAGCCTGGCCTTAAAGGCTTGAAGATAAAGCTGTTCTTTTGCTGTCATCAAAACCATCAAGCCTTCACCTGTGGTTCCAGAGTACATTTGAAAAGTGGACTGGGGCTGGGGAGGCCGTGGCAGCTTTGGGAGCAGCTCCTGCTCTTCCCTGAGTGCTGGTGGCACTTCTTTCAGGGTGGCTGGCAGCCGTGGAAGGAACAGGAGTGCGGTGCCTGGAGGGGCAGAGATTCCTGAGAGGGTGGGGGGGCATAGTTCAGGAACACAGGCAAGATGGAAAGGTTTTCAGTCTGACAGTAATTCAGTGACTGCGGGTAGCAGGGAGGTAAGGATGTCTGCCGCCTCCTTTCCCAGGCATGCTACTCTTCTTTGCCTCTCCTGATGCATTCACATCTGAAGTATGTGGGTCCTGTGTTTTGGTGGCTTTGGCAGTAAGATGTTAACTCTAACAGAGCCATGAAGGATTTAGTGCTCTGTGGTAGTTAATTCTTATATGTGGCTTTTTTTTCTTCCCAGGTGCTGCTGATGGGTAAAAGTGGGTCTGGGAAGACCAGCATGAGGTCCATTATCTTTGCAAACTACATCGCCAGGGACACACGGCGCCTGGGTGCCACAAGTAAGACTTCTCTTGTTTTAACCACAAGTTCCCAGGGCTCAAACCCCCTTCATTAAAGGGGCGAGGCTGTTCCCTCCAGCAATCCCTGCCTCTCCTCTGCTCTGGAGTAGATGGGTGTCTGTTGATCCTCCCAGCTACCACACCTCACAGGGAACTGCACTCCTGACTTCAGCTGAGGGTAGGTAGGAAGCTGGAGTGAAAGGCAAAGCAGCACTGCATTCAGTTTTGCTGCTTTATTGTTGAACTTTTAGCCTTAGCTTTTTTTTTTTTTGATCACGAAGCAGCCTTTGCTGCAACTACACCTATCACTGGCGGAGTGTTGAGAGTGTTCTCTTGGTCCTCCTTGGTGAAGCTTTCCTGTCATTAGCCAGCTGATAGCTAGCACACCTGCAGTCACAGTGATCTTGCTATGCACCTGTGGCTTTAGCAAGATACTGCACTAGACTTAATTATTGTCTTCTGCCTTTTTTGTCCTCCAAAGCCACTGGTCTGAAAAAGCAGTAAGTGATTCCTCTGAAACAGGGGTGTGAATTGTCAGGCTCCAGTGCTTCTCGCCGAGAAGCACCTTTGAGGACTTAACGTCACAGATTAGTGTACATTCCCTCTTTGCCCTAAATTTGTCCTGTTCATAAAGTTTACATTCTCTCTGTTACTGATTTATTCTTTTAAGGCTAGTTTAAGGCCCTGCAGAGTGTGCTGGAACTAATGTAATTCTTAAAATATCATGAAGATCCAAGAATGTGCTAAAGGGGAACCACCTCCTGTGCTTCTCAGGAGAATAGGTCCTGAGTAGAGAGTAGGAAGGCTTGAATTACTCTGGGAACTTTTTCCATAGTGCCTTCAGCTACAGATTTATGTTCAACAATGCTTAGATGGGATTTTACAAACTGTGGGCTGTGCTGTAAAGAATGGCATTTGTGACTGCCCGGGGAGGTAGCTTGGTTATGTGTGTGTGTGTGGTACAGTCAGTAAACTTCTGTTGTCTCTTTCTAGTTGATGTGGAGCACTCCCATGTTAGATTTCTAGGAAACCTGGTATTAAACCTCTGGGACTGCGGAGGGTAGGTACTGTTTATTCTTTTGCTTTTGAAACCATTGGGTGTTAGCTCTGGGGAATAAGACTGGGGATGTACAAAACAGAGGTCCTGCTGCCCTGGGGGGACAAGTACGCTGCTTATGCACGAAGGGAATAGAACAAGCTTCATGCATGCACTGTAAAACTGGTGAGACAACTCTGGAAAGAACGGATACCACATCTTAGGCTTGTGCCTGGAGGTGGGTGGAAGAGGTTGGCACAATGACGCTGTCTCTTGAGTTATCCCTACATAAAAGATGCAGTGTGTAGGTCCACCCTTACCTTGCTGCTTGCTTGCTTCTGCTGGCAAAAAGCCTGAGTCCTTCACCCGGACCTTCTCCTGAGGTGGTGGGAGGTGACACTAGTTTCAGAATTGCTGAAGGTTGATAGTGACCCTATGGCTCCTGGAAGCAGCTTTTCGAAGAATGCTCTCCCGCTGACAGCCTCAGCAGAGCTGTCCAACTTTTCCAGGCTTCAGCAGCTCTCATGTTCTCATGCACCATATTCAGCAAAAGTTAAAGGAGATTTAAATCCTGTCATAGCAGGCTACGCTGATGGTTTTGGTTATATTTTAGCTTGTGCTGTGGCTTTTTTTATACCCAACTCTCTAAAAGCCAGTCTGGGTCCAGAAGCAATGTAACTCTGTTTGCACAGGACACTGAGCAGCCAGCTGGGATGTGAAGGAAACTTCAGCTTCCTGTGAGACTGGCGAGCAGATGCTCTTCAGAAGCATCCAACTTTGCTTGGTTGGAAGTGCTGGGGAAGCTTCACACCATGGGGAATATCACCACTCACAGGGCTCTTGTCTAGACTCCTGGAATGGGGTCTCTAGCTCAACATGCAAGCCATGCCTTTCTATGGGAGGTGTTTTACATGTAGCACCTTTCCTGGCAATGCTAAGCAAGACCTGGTTGCTCTAATGGGAGTCTCCTTGATTTGTTGCTCTGCTCCTTCTCAGACAGGACACTTTTATGGAGAACTACTTCACCAGTCAGCGGGACAACATCTTCCGCAATGTGGAAGTCCTCATCTATGTCTTTGATGTAGAGAGCCGTGAACTGGAGAAGGACATGCACTACTACCAGTCATGCTTGGAGGCAATTCTTCAGAACTCTCCAGATGCAAAGATCTTTTGTCTAGTGCACAAGATGGACTTGGTGCAGGAGGATCAGCGGGATTTGGTGAGAAGCTGATAGCTGTCATAGAAACGCTTTCAAACAGAACATCTTTTGACTGTGCTAATGCATTGTGATTTCATACTTCAAATACAGCCCCATCAGCACTGTTCCTAGAAGGGTTTCTCAGATGTTAAGAATTGTCAAAGCCCTCTAAGCTTTTTCTGCCTTTTCTAAATTGTATGTCATTGCTATCTTTTGCATGTAATCTAGAGGAGAACAGAACTAATGATTTTTAGTAACAACTACTCTAAGCCTTTCCTTTCAAAGAGTTGAAACTTTCCCAGTTAACTAGAAGGTGGTTTCTGTCAGTTGATTCTGCTCTCTGTCAGTTTGGCCTGCCTGCCCAGAGACTGATCACCTCTTAAGCACTCTTCATCCCCAAGAGGCTGGGGATCAACCTTTCAGAGGTATTCCATGTTTTCTGTTCTTTTTTTTAACTTTTGAAAGGTTGCAGGGAGATTGGAAGATGTCAAGTTCCTACTAACCTTGCTTTTTCAGCTTGGACTGAAAAGCAGCCAGGTCCTGATACCAAGGAGGAATGAGCTTTGTGGGTTAGATGAGCACATCCCCAGCTGCTTGGCCCCTCCCTGGCTTGCAGCAAGTTTGGAGGCCCCTTTAGGCTGTTGGCTTTTGTCTGAAGTAAGGTGTCTTATTAAACTAACTTCTGATTCCTGGTGAGTATGTGCCTGGGCAGCTGCAAAGGAGGCCATGCAAGGTGCTGTGGCTGAAACCACGCCCTGACCTCCCTGCACAGACAGACTTCCACATAGCAGGTTGGCTTCAGATCATTTGTGCATCTCAGAGCAGAGATCCTCCTCGTCCAGTTTTAGTTCTGCCATCCAGCACACTGCAGAAGTAGCTTGTTCACAGGCTTGATTCAGGGAGGTTTTTCTCACTTCCATCTGCCTTCCCTCCAGACAGAAGGATGAGTCTAAAAATCTTCTTAATGCTGTCCTGTCCAGGGTTGTTTTGGGACTCGTGGACAAATGCTGGTTCTACATAGTTGTGTAGACTATTGAGGCCCTGAAGTGAGGGGTTGACAGAAGAGGAGCCTTCTGCTTTCAATGTGTACCATTGCATACCCATCAAGTTCTGTGTTAAGGTGTCTGCTACTCAGAAGAACATGCAAATACTGAGCCACATCACTATCTCTGTAAATCTTATTGAAGCCTTTGGTATCCCTGGACCCAAATAGTAAGTGTTGGCCTATGCAGCATTTCATGGGCGTTGGTTAATGTTCTGTCACATTGCTGAAAACAGTAAGCTGAGGTGAAGGCAGTTGTTGTATCTTCCCCTGAAGAGGCACATTGCTGGCTGTCCTGCTGCTTTTTTAGCAGTTCTGTAGGAGCCTGGCACAAGGCTGTCTGATCTTTACTGTTCACCCTGCTCCCCCTTTTTTGTAAGCATAACTTGTAAGGGCAGAGTATGGTGTGAGAGGGCTATGTAAGTACATGCCTTAGAGCTGCTCATACTGATGAACCTTAAGTGCTTTCTTCCAATCCTGTTCTCAGTGATAGAGCTTTCTGCCTGTGACCAGGGTCTTCTCAAAATTTAGGTCCTCAGAGACGCTCATGTGTGTCTGCTTCTGTTCCCACTCCATGACACCCATAGTTATTCCAGCTTTGAGTCCTGGTCAAATCTATTGCGAGACAGCCATGGTCTGCTTTTCCCTGCTGTTCCGGTGGAAGAGGTTTCTGCCAGCCTGTCCTGGCTGATGTGCTCTGCTGTTGTCTTTTTTCGGGTGCTGTGGGTACTCAAGGTTTCTTTGAAATGCGTGCTGTAAATGCAATACAGCAACCACACTGAAGGCAGAAATATTTGCACTCAACTGCTAATCTTTTTTTATTTCCCAGATTTTTAAAGAGCGTGAGGAGGACTTGAAGCGCCTTTCCCGGCCCTTGGAATGTGTTTGTTTTAGAACTTCCATCTGGGATGAAACACTTTACAAGGTTTGTACAGCTTCCTCTCTGTATCTGGCTTTTCCCCCTCCTTATTGAAAACAAGAGTGTGAGGAAGGCAAGTGGTTAGTTGCTACTGGTTTATTAGTGACTGGCCCTTTTTGGTTCTGCAGCAGCTACTTCTGGGGGTTAGCTGTTGTAAACAGCACCTGAGCATCCTGGTTTTAATTAGAAAATGTAAAAGACCTCCATGTGCTGGAGTCATGGTGTCACTATGTTAATACTGCTTAAATACTTTGCCTGGCTGCTTTAGAAAGAGCTTCTGCATCTTTTAGTCACGTTTATCTGGCATGGAATTGTTTCCTGTGTTTCTCTGCAGCACTGTTAAAACACAAACATTTACCTTTCTGGGAATTTGCTTTGCTTTCAGGAGTGGGTGTGTTTTTTTGTGGGTGGGGATTTTTGCCATTAGTCAGTCTTGACTGCAGTGTCAGAGGTCTTCCAGTGTGGGAGCGGTGAGTCCTACCTGGGCTACGCTGAGAGCAAATGATCATTATAATTGCCAGCTCAGGCTAATAAGCAGTGGTGGTAGTGTAGTGGCTGGGTCGCTTGTCTGAAGGTGAGGAGCTTTTGGCTCTTTCTGACTTTATCGGGACTTGGGACAGCAACTTTCACCATTCTGGCAAATCCATTTAGCAAATGCCCCTGCCTTCAGTGTATGATGTGCTTGAGGCTGATGCAGCACTGTACACCAGACATCACTCTTGACAAAGCACGTGCCCAGCTCCCTCTAGAAATTGCCCTCCCCAAGCAGGGGCACACCCTGGGTTCCTGCAGCCATCCCTGACGTCCATCGGTCACACTGGTTACTCTGTTTGAGCCGCTTACACAGCAGCAGACCTGTGCTATTCCAGACACAGCCCTGCCAATGCTCTTCAGAGCTCATGCCCTTGGTTTGGACTTTTAACTTTGTGTTTGGCAAGTGGGATGGGAGGAATGTTTGGTAAATAGGAGACACAAATATCCACCCTGACTCCTGGGGGGAAGCATGTGGTCAGGCACTGACACAGACCTGGGTCACTAGGTTGGCAGTGAGGTGAAGCTGAGCTTGGAGGACTGGAGTCTGAATGAGGACAGATGACAATTACAGCATCCCCAGTCCCTTCTGGACTTGTTCCTGACTCACTGGGTTAGAGTAGAGCTTTCTGTTTGGATCAGTGACAAGCTGCCAAGTATCCTTCTGCATGTTGACCTTGCTCAGGATTAGAAAAAAGACTGAAAACTTCAGTGAGTTTATCTGGGAGCAGTAGATAAAAGCATTGCCAGCTTAAAATTAGGATGATTTAAGCCTCTTTAATAGTATTCTAGTTTCTCTGTGACTGATCTGGAAAAGAACTTGGTCTAGTGAAGAGTTTACTCAGGTCTGGGGTAGCACTGGTAGTCTTCACTGTAGCAGAGAGAGGTGGGAGAAGCTTCTCAGTCTTGCCCAGGCTATCAACACCCAGAACTACAAATAGTCAGGTTTTGAGCACATTGCATAACAAGAGGATGAAGTAGAAAAGTGCTAATGCAGCCCTTACATTTTGTTTTTCTTTATTGACAGGCTTGGTCCAGTATAGTCTATCAGCTGATCCCCAATGTCCAGCAGCTGGAAATGAACCTGAGGAACTTTGCTCAGATCATCGAGGCAGATGAAGTGCTTCTGTTTGAAAGAGCCACTTTCCTGGTGAATACAGCAGTTCTGCCCTTCAGGTTCCTCTGCGCAGCCTAGGATGCAGTTCCCTGGATGGAAAGTGCTGTTGTGGCGGTAGCCCAAAGAGAGGTGCCAGATGGCAGAATGCATTGATCCAGGCCGTGTGATATTGAGAGTAGCTGATGTGACTCCATGGCTCATGGGACCTTCCCAAAATTTCCACTTCTAGCAGCTGAGCTGAGGGCTTGATCGGTATTTCCCTATTCCAAGCTGTGAGGGGGTTTCATATCCCCATTCTGTTGTCGGCCGTAGGACTTTTCTGAGAATTCTTTTCTGCCCAGGGCAAGAACCTTCTTTAGATTGAAATAAGCCTCTTCAGTTCCCCTGGCCTGATGCTTTAACAGGTCTTGATTTCTTCTTTTTATTTTGTCTGATGTTCTCCAAACCTGGAGTATGGGTAGAGGATCACAAGCAATTGGATTGCTGTGGCTTTCCAAGTTACTGGCTGCATGGTAACTGTGCTTCCAACCTGTTGTCTCTGCAAGGTAAACGTGTTGGTTAAAACCACTGCTGCTGCTTGGTTGTCCATACTCTTGGTTTCTGGATTGATCTTTTCTGACTTTGCACCAAAAGTCTTGCCGACCTGGAGGAATGGTTTTGAATTTTTTTGAGTGCTTTTCTTGATGGCCAAACGTCTGATTTTGAAATGATGGAGGGAATGTGGAAAAGGAGCCATTACTTCTATCACTTCTTAAACTGTCAGAAGTAAACTCCTGCCGTTTCTGGCAAGTTCTGCTTTTTGTCCTTTTGTAGATGAATAAATAGTTCACCTTGGTGGTATGTAACAGAACTTTTGTTATAATACTTTTTTTTTTACTGAAAAAGAATAATCTCTACTACAAAAATTCAATGCTGATTTTCAGTTTAATGGTGACTTTTTAAAAAGCCTTTTTTTTTGCTCGCTTTCTTCATATATTTAAACTTCCCCCAGGACACTTCTCTCCTGAAGTGAAATCCTACCCTGAAATTGTATTGAAATCACAGTAACAGCAAAACTTATCTGGAAATTTAAGGAATGAACTTGCATACAATGAAGGCTTTGGTATGAATGCAATCCTTGAATCTGGCTAAACCTGTAGTTGTATGAATAATTGGGCAGGTTTAAAAAGTAGGAAGTATATGATTTTAAGGTGCTTAAGGAAAAAAAGAAAAAATCAAAAAAAACTTAGTTCTTGCAAGTCTGTTAAATGTGGCTCTGTAGGTAGAAAAGGAATAGTTTAACATCCTTGCGTAAGGGTGTCTGGCTCTTCCACTAGCAGCTGGTTTCATGATTCTGAAGATTCATGATTCTTTGTGGGATGATTCTTTGGGAACAAAGATGATGCAACTGTTTGATTGTGTGCCATTCACCTTATGCAGTAAATGTAGTTCTCAGCCCGTTAGCTAATTTGGCTGAGGAGTAAATGTGTGTAGGCTACCAGGGAAGTGGCAAAGTGATCAAGGAAAAATGTGGATCACACTGCAAGGATTCCAAAACCTTTTGATCCTCTGAGTCTTTGCAGCCAGCCACTGAGGTCTGCATGTTGCTGCTGGATCACTGTGTGGGAGGAAGAGGAGGAGAACTGATCTGAATGCAGGCAGCTTAGCACAGTCTTGGTCTGACTCAGTGAACTGATGGAGAGAGAACTCCCTAGGAAACCAGCTGCCTTTGTTCTGCTTTTTTTAGGGAGGAACAGCTTGCTGTGGCTTTGAGAGCAGTGCTTGTGCATCCTACCTGTTGCAGAATGGGAAATTTCTCAGGTTCGGTCCTTGAGAATCTGCAGCATGATAAACTTAGGAAGGAAAAGCTATTCCAGCATTTGTCAAGTGTCTGTTTCCTCTACCTGAGGTGGTGGTCTTGCTGCTTTTTTTTTTCTCTCCTTACACTTTCTTCTTTGAATCAAGATTTAAATTGCTGCTAAGTTGGAGTTTTCAGACCTCAGATGGACGATGTCTCTTGTATATCTTGCATACTTGCGCCTGCACTTGTGAAAGGCTTCCTGGTGACTGTATTACCGAGTCTTGTTTTACCATGAAAATGCCACAAGTATTGTTGCAAATAGTTTCCAAGATTCAATTAGCAAAAGGCAAAGGAAATCCCTGTTCTGGTCACCACCTGTTTCCCATAATTGCTGTCAAGCCTGAGAAACCTGTGTTGAAATAAATTACTAATTCTGTGCTCTCTTTCTGCCTTCCAGGTCATTTCTCACTATCAGTGCAAAGAACAGCGGGATGTCCACAGATTTGAGAAAATCAGCAACATTATTAAACAGTTCAAGCTAAGTTGCAGGTGAGCTGCTTTAATCATTAGGTGGGGAAGATACTGCAGCAGGTGTTTCAGCTTCATCCAGAGGCATGAAGGCTCTCCAAAGTAGTACGGTTCTCTGACTCCTCAGCAAGCTGAGATGCTGTAGTTAAATTGCACCAAGCTTAAACACAACTGAGTTAATTGTTATATTTGTAACTTCCTCCTTTGCTGATGGTTGAAAGAGGTTTGTTTTGAAACAACCATTTTCTTCTAGACCTCATTCTCCTGGGCGAGGTAGGGAAGTTTCAGGACTAAATTGATAAATTGGTGACAGTCAACAGTGCTCTAGGAAGTCAGATGGAGAGCTTTTCTTCAGACCCTGTACCACACAGCTGCTTTGGGAGGAAGAGGCTTCCAGACCCTATTTATCAGTATTTTGAATGAAAAAGTGGGAAGCTGGCTTTGTAGTAGCTTGGTTTTAGAACGATCTCTGTTTCCCCAGTCTCTTAGTAATATCTACAAGTGTTTGGAGTCTTGAATAGGATGGAGAAGTGGCTGCATGGTTTACAGAGCTGGCTCCAGATGTTTCAGTTTTATACTTATTTCTGCTGGATATCCACAGTGTGTTCAGCTGTCTTTCTGAATGGCTATTACATCCGTGGGGCAAGTGCCACTGACAGCTTGGGCACAGCAGACTCATGAGGGTTGTAGATCTTGAGTTACCTTCACCATTCAATGTGCAAATCACTTTATATTGTTCTCATTTAGCCTCAAGCTAAAGATTTCTTTCTTAAAAAAAACCAAACATACAAAACACACTTGTAGTCACATCTGGTGTTGCTTGCCAAATGAGTACTCAAATGTGTCTTTGTTACCAACAACTCAAGTAATGGGATGTTGGTGCAAAAGCTGTTTGAGCAATGTTACAGTAATAGTTCATTTACTTTTTTTTTTTTTTCACTCTACCCTCTTAGTAAGCTGGCAGCTTCTTTCCAGAGCATGGAGGTCAGGAACTCTAACTTTGCTGCTTTCATTGACATCTTTACATCAAATACATATGTGATGGTGGTTATGTCAGACCCTTCGATACGTAAGTTGAAGCAAAGATAAGCCTCTGGCCTGTTTTGTGTTTGCAGGGACAAAAAGATGAATGACTCTGAACTGCATTTCTCTTGGAAAATGACAAACACCAAGCAATGCAGTAAAACTGTAATTAAAAGATGGAGAGGGATCTGCTGTCCTGCTGACTTGCCCTGTCTGGGCAGAGTGAGGGGGAAGGTGGCTAAAAAGTGACATACCTTGCGGAAGGCGAGATGCGTGCCTGTGACAGCTGAGCTATTTGTTGTTGTCAAGTGGAGGATCGTAACAGCAGTGGGGAACCACTATAACAGATGTGACCTGATTTAGTAGGTTGTATCTAATAACCTATTTTGGGCTGTTCTGATCTGGCAGCCCCAGTGATTTTTGGAGAGTAAGCAGAGATGGATTGTATTTGAGTTTTTGCTCTTGCTGCCTGAACTGCCTTGGTGGGCAAGGACTCTAATTATAGCAGCATCTATTTATCTTAAAGAAGAAACTGTAGCCAACAGTGTCAGCTCTCACAGGCACAGTGTGAATATTTAACTGTTTGCAGAACTCCAACTGAAACTACTTCTGTTAGGGTTTGAGGTGCTTAAGAGACACTGTCCAGGACAGCCTTGTGGCTTACGGTGTTGGTGCTTCCTGTCCTGTTTTTGACTGGTTTACTGAATTGGGGAGAACCTTTGTAAACCCTGTGACTCAATTACCAGCTGTGATGATACTGTGCTTGAGGAGCAGCGAATGAGCAGCTCTGGTGACTTGTGCAGCTATCACTTGGCTGTAGTTTGCTCTGACTCTTTCTTGGCGTTGCACTGGGATCAGCAAACAGCCCAGACCTTCCAGTGTTAAATTTTGTACAGCTAGGGAGCAGCGGGGTTAAAATGAGAGAGCTTTCTGACCAGCTCGTTGGTTTTAGGCAGCACTTAATTTCTGAGGACTTGTTTACTTGCATCTCTCTTAACTTTTTTTTTATCTCCCCCGTCCCTTTTCCGTCCTAGCTTCTGCAGCTACGCTGATCAACATCCGCAATGCCAGAAAACACTTTGAGAAGCTGGAGAGAGTGGATGGTCCAAAGCACAGCCTGCTCATGCGCTGAACAATGGCCAAGGCACATGGTCTTTGGGGGGAGAAAAAATGAATTGGAACTACTTATTTTTAGGAGAATCTAACAATGTTGATGTCTTTGGGCTTTGAAATGAGTGTGCTGCTTTATTTTTTCTCCTTTTAACGTTGGACACTAGTCACTCGGATGTCTGGATACACTGCGGACCTTCAAAAGAGACTTCCCTGGCGTATGTGGGGTTGGGAAGAAGTAAGGACGTGTGACATGCACGTGGTCTCATGCTCCTGGTTGTCATAGTGCCACATGGCAGAGCTGGTGTGGATGTTTTGCTCCCAGGTGATCATATAAGTCACAGGAATGGAATATTTACTGTTTTATTGGTCGGTTGCTAGAATATGTTTATAAATTTCTCCTTGTCTTCAGTCATGAAAATAAATTTTTGCTACCAGGGATTTCAGATCCTAGAGCTTTGGAAAGTGGGTTTTATTTCTTCTAAAACCTAGGGTAGCTTTGGCAAGCAGATGTGTAGTAGCTGCATTTCTCCTTTCATGTTATTTGGGGGGTGTTGACCAAAGGCCATTTCAGAGTTTCATTTAAGATAATTTTTTTTTTCGCCATGTGGAAGCAAAAATTCACTCAGCAGGTGAAGCAGTCAGGCTTGCAATGGCCTTTTTACACTTGCCAAAGCAATGGAAAGACTACAGTAAACAAAAGGATCCAAAGATCCTAATTGACCAAGCATCAAGATAGTTCTGGTGAGCCAGGAGGGGCTGGTGTGGGCACAGAGGAGCCCTAGAATATGTTGGGGAGGGTGTGTGCATGAGCTACATTAGCTGTGTTTGCAACGAGCCAGTTGGGCAGTGTTTGACACCAATGTTACTTGACGTGGCTGTCTATTTTTTAATGAGTTTTATTGTGTGCATTTCCATTAAACGTAGGAACAACAAAAGCACTGTGAGTTAGGGGAATCAGTGGTTTGCTGGGTGGGAGCTGATGCTTGTCAGCATCTTTTTTTCCTTTTTTCTCTCTTGCTCCATCAAATTACTATATAAAAAAGGGTGTGGTGACTCTGAGCTTGGCTCTCTGCTTTGTTTTCTCAAAATTATGCTTTCCCCCTGTATCCCTGCCCACACACGCAGTGGGCCGGGGGAAAGTCCAACAGGGTGAGTCCGTTATGTGAGAAGGGGGAGCTAAAGGGCACATCTTGGCTGGAGGGCTGAGGATGGGTTCCCCACCAAACCTTCCATCGATTCTCAATCTTTACTATTAAACACCCGTGTTCTTACTCCACCTACTCGGCAGATGTGTTGTTGCACTCTCAGGCCAGGTGTGTTTTCAGTGAGGATCTGTAAGTTGACATCCCTGTGGGAGAGGAACACTAAGATGTCTGTTAACAACTCAGGTGCTGGAGTTTCAGGAGAACTTCAGAATGAGCTGGAGATGCAGTGGAGGGTTTCTGTTTGTCTTTGGTGCTTGCAGGTGTGGAATACAGTGCTGGTCCTGGAGTGGGAACAGCAAGTCTGTGACGTTGGGCCGGAGCAAGCCGCAATGTGACTAGTTGCCTCTTGCAGATGCTGCCCCACTGCTTGGACACGGTCAGTGGAGAAACTTCACAGCTTTCTGCACGCAAACCCTGCCCTCAGTGCTGTAGAGTGGAGCGAGAGGATGAGTCGCTGTGGATGGAAGCCTCAGGAACATCACCTCCAAGGGGTTACTTGCAGGAGATGGGCAGCTGTCATGGCTTCAGGAGAGCAGAAGATGGTTTATGGCAGCAGTTCTAGCGCAGATTGAAGCACCTCCTGCTGTGAGTGTGTTTTCATAGCAGGCAGCTGTTCCTGCCAGAGACGGAGGAAAAGACAGTGGGAAATGCTGCCTTATTTCCATGGTTACAGGGAGTTGCTGTTGGGTTTCCTTAGGGATAAACTTTAGTACGTGAGAGTGGGATAATGTTAATTGGGGGGGAGGAAATGTGGGGTGAGGGAGCAGGTAACAAACCACTGTGAAGGTACCCTGCCTTGCTGAAGCCTCTCCAGCGCCAGCGACGTGATGGTAATAGATAAAGTTCTGCTGTTTTCTCTTAGTGCAAATCTGTTTTCTTAAAAGTACGTGTATTTTGGAGGCTCTTTTGAAATCAACATTTTCATTTTGCTCTCTGACAGAGATACTGCTGGTGCTGCTCTGTGCTGTCAAGCAACCACCTGCAGTATGGATGAAAATATGTGGATGGCTTTATTTCAGGCCTTACCTTTTTTGACAGTACTGTGGGATATTTTGTCTCTTTCCCCAAAGCAAACCTGGGGGCCTTTTTTGGAGCCCGGGGTGTGTCGCTGCCGGTGTGCGACTGTGCCAGGCAGGGTCCTTCCAGTGACCAGCCACGGTCCCGTGGCATCACTGAGCAGCAAGATCAGGCTCTGCACCCTCACCTGACCTTCTTGGAAGACTCTTCCCCCTTATTCTGGGAGCTCTTGATATCAAAAAACCCCAAAATGTTGTGCTTTGCTGTGTATGTCTTAGTACTGTGCTTTTCTGCTCAGGGGTGTTCTAACCATTTCCTTCCTGCTACCCACATCGGACCAAGCCTGGATGACTTGAGTGGGGTTGACTTGAGGGTGAACAAGTGTCTGTTACCCCTGTGATGAGCTGTGTTCAGATCAGATGACGTTTTGGAGCTCTCCCACAGGGTACTCCCCTTCCTTTTACCTCCGTAGCAGTAGTAGTGGTGGTGTCAAAGTCTCCAGGAGATGTGGAGGAGCTGGGTGGGATGGCCACAGGTCTGTGGTGGCCAGCAGCTGCCAGGTACTGCTCTGCTGCTGGGACCGAGCTCCTCCAACCATCCAGTGGATTCTGCAAGGTGAGGGGAGACCGTGTGGATGTTGGGGCTTGCTTACGTGTTCAGCACCTCTAGGACAAAGTGGTGGGCACTGAGCTGGGCTGGAAGGGGGCAAGCCCTGCAATGGGAGGGATGCAGCTGAGCCCACCTGAAGTGTTTGATCAAACCCCAGCTGCAAGAAGCCGTGGCTGTGCTGGAGGGGCCCCGCTCCTTTGGCAGAGCGGTGGGAAAGGACCAGTTCCCTGCGGAGGGGTCTGTGTAAACATCTTGGTACAGCTGGACATCAAGATGCCGATGGTGGTGGATCAGGCTTATTGGGGAGGAGAGAGGCAGCATGGTGCCCTGCCAAGAGCCTGTGGGTTTCCCTTTGTGGGATCAATGATCGCGTCTGTGGTTAATCTTGAAAGCAGAAGCACGGAGCTACTGCACTTGGTTTGATGGTGGAGGGATCTGGTCTTACTCAACATACAGCTCCTCACCTCAGGGGGAAGAGTGAACAGCAAAACACACCCATTTCTGGGGTGCTTTGATATTTATTTTTTTTTGTCTGCTCCCAGGGTGGGGAAGAACAACATGCACCACTTCTGTAGCCAAGCAGATGTTTCTGGCCTGTGTTCTGCTGCTTAAAAAGCTTGAAGGCTGCTGGTAGCCTTCAGCACCCATCAGCCTGTCCATCACACCTCCTCGCTTGTTCTTTTGCTATTCCCTCTTTCTTGGGGGCTTGCAGACTGTGGTGTTACAGCATCGAGATGAGCTCAGCGGCAGAGGGCCGTGTCCCTCACCTTCAGCCTGGCCATGGTGGCTGTCCCCATGGACCTGGATTCAATCTTGATGCTGAAACCAACAGTGCTGCTTTTTGGAGCTAAAGGGGTGGCTACGCTGGACGTTCCCCTTGGGGCTCAATGTGCCTGTTGCTGTGGCAAAGCTCAAGGGACCACTCGGAGCACGGACACCCCTTTCATGGGGGGATTGTCCTTCTCTGCTACAAGTCGTGTGTGAACCTCCCCTGTGCCCTCTGGTCTGGGATGCCTTGTCCGAGCCGGGCTGAGCGTGGACGCAGCCTTTGGCTCTTCTCAAGGCAGATAAATGAGTTTGGGATACAACGCCCTTCCTCTTTGATGAAGAGAAGGACAAGCCAGCGCCCTATGTCTTGTGGGTGCAGCAAAAGCACGAGTTCATTTTTCTGCCTTTTTATTCAAAGGAAACTCGACTCAATAAATAAACAGCAGGTTGACCTCAGTCCACCCTCCCCCAGGTTCCAGCAGAGCTGCTGGAGGAGGCACCAATGCTGCAGAGCCCCCCCCC